GTGTGCAAAGCTTTAGTGGATCTGAGAACAGAGTTCTTGTGGAGATACAGCGAAAACAGAAAAGGAATGAGTAGTGGAGAATATTTCAGAGAGTATATGAAATTAGTTGAAAAGCAGATTCTGTAATTCTGTGAAATACAAAACAGAAACTTGGGCCTTCAGGCCTATACTCTTGGATTACTTGAAAGTGCTAGAATTTGAGAAGGCAATATGTGGAGGATATGTTAGGTTTTCAGAACGTTCATCCCCATCAGGTGTGCTGCCTTTAAAGATTTATCCACCTTTCCTGTGGAAAAATATAAGCCCTGTCTGTAACCATAATTTCTAACATACAACAGTAGTTTAGGGGCCATACAGCAACTGTAAAAGAATTGATCAGTGGAAGAGTTGTTACTTATATGAGACTTTTCCCAGCTTTGGTCTTCAAGACTTTGGAGAAAATGTGATGTTCTGTAGGAGAAAATATATCAATTTTGTATTGCCTACCATAGTACACATTCTTAAATAGGTTTCCATTGCTGCTGCATGGTCTGCATCTTGTTTTGAACAGTCAGTTTATTTAACATCTTTTATTGTTAATACTTAGATGATCTCTTGTGTTATGGTGCAACTATGTTAAACAGATAGGAATGGACAGTCTGTTGAAATAATTTGCCTGGTGCTAGTTGTATGTAAGTATCATAAATTTCATAGATTTCATAGACATTAGGGCTGGAAGGGACCTCAGAAGATTGAGTCCAGGCCCCCGCCCGAAGGGCAGGTAGTCAGCTGGGGTCACAGGAGCCCAGCAAGATAAGCATCCAATTTACTCTTGAAGGTGTTCAATGTAGGTGCTTGAACAACCTCCAGTGGCAGGCTATTCCAGACCTTGGGGGCTCAGACAGTAAAGGAATTCTTCCTTATGTCCAAGCCCCCAAGGTCTGGAATAGCCCCCAAGGTCTGAAATTATTATACCCCTGCTAAATTGTAGAAAGCTCTGTAAAGTTTTTTATTACTATCCAAAGTTTTCTATTCTCTTATGCAAGACGAAGAGACTGTTACTATTTTTGGTGAGATGCTCGAGTGGCAACTGTGCTAGTGACATCATCATAATAGCAACCACAGAAGTTTACAGTAGCACCTTACTTGACTTCAGCTTGTTATGAGTCATGACGGACACCTATACACGTGACAGATGTCTGGTTTGACAAGTGCTAATAAGAACATGTCGGAGCAGACTCAGTTAATACAGTGTGCTGCAAGTCTGCTGGAGCATACTGATTAGTGCGCTTCACCAGCCTCTGTGTCACATGTATTCAGTGTTTCCATGTTTCAAAATGGTGGTGGGGATGCTTTAACTAAAGCTAAATACACGTGACAATGCAGGTGCTTTAAATTAATTAAATTTTAATTAATTAAAGTGCCCCCCCTCCACTGCAGAGCATGTGTATAGATGCCCAAACTGTCTCCAATTTAATCATCTCTTTTCTCTGATTTAAATGCAAAGAAAAAAGACAGGTCATGCACCTTGATATCATGGGCTTTTATTAGTAGTTTTTGAGCCAGTGAAAACTAATGCAAAGAAAACTTAGGTTGGTGCCTAGGAAGAACTTTCTGATTATGAAGGTGGTTAAGTATTGGAACAGGCTATCTAGAGAAGCTGTGGAATCTCTCATCCCTAGAAATTTTCAGGAGCAGGTTGGGCAGATACTTGGCTGGGATAGTTTAGCCAGGGATGATCATGCCTTGAACAGGGGGCTGGACTAGAAGACCTTCCAACTCTACTTTCCTGTCATCCTATATCACAAATAGAAGGGTATCCATATTACTCGATAGAAATAAACATTTTGATGTCTTAATTATCTCCATTCAAATTGTATAATGTGGGAAGGGAGCACATGGCAACAGTAATTAACATATTAAATTGTTATTGTGGGGACTTTCTCATCCAAATATCTTTCTAAAAGGTTTAATGGAGATGAAACGCAGTTGCAGATACAGTTCCCTTCTTTCTGTTTCCAACAGTTTCTTAAAATGTGTTCCAACTGTGAGATCAAATCATTTTGTAATTTTGCTTAAGATATTCAGAAGCCTGATTGTATGGGATGCAGAATAAGACTTGAATGTGGTGCATTTTACCCAGGCTGTATGCATTAGAGCCCCTGCAGAGCTGCTGTCCCCTTAGCATTTTTTTTTACTACTACTTCATTATACAGTTACTTTGGGAAATGATGTTTTACTTGTTTTCACTGTGTTCATTTCCATTGGGTTTAGTCTCCATGTGAAGAACAGATTATGCAAGATCAAGAAGGCCTATCTGCCATACCATGGCATTCCCCCATGCAGTGGTTTTATTGTTAGTTATAAACCTCCTTCATCTTGTGCCATTATTTTAAGTAAGGACCAGCTGTTTAGCCATATGGAAGAGTTTGTCATATATACCTGTAAAGAGATTAAACATTTGCTGGGGAAATAAGGGTTTTCTTACATAGGTTTGGTCTTTGAATGCACAATGTTATGCTAAAATGACAAACTTTCATACTGTATACATCATCCTACTGGCTACATTCCCCAATCATTCATTCCCTTTTTAGATATCTCTTGTATATGTAATGCAGATATAAGTTTTGATATCATCTTAAATGATAAGCAGTGGGGACACCTATCAGAAAAAACCCCACACACTTTCTTTTAGTTGGCTTTGTTTCATTGTGATGGTAAACTCATCATAGACTGCTTTTAGGATTATATGTGCAGGGCTGGCCCGTCCTGTACTGCGAAACCTATGGCCTCAGGGTGCCCCTCAGCTAAGGGGGCCTCTTGCATCCAGCCACTTGCCACCCCCCCCGCCACCAGCTTCACATCTGGCTGCTTGCTGCCACCCCTGCCGCAACTGCCACCAGCTTCTTTGGTTGCTTGCCACACTCCCCTCCCCTGCTCCCCACCCCCGCTGCCATCAGCTTCTTCAGGGCAGGGGGCCCCAAAACTATTCCTTGCAGGGGACCCCAAAAAATTGTGGGCTAGCTCTGACTATGCACCATGCTTAGGGTGCCAGCAAAAGTCCTCTGCACCATTTAAACAACAGGTTTAGAAAATATTTAGTCTGGGCACAGACATTCAGAGAGGTTAGGGGGAGGTTAGATCAAGTTAAAAATGGCCACTTGGTCTAAGGTGAGTCAGGATGGGGGGCTAGTGGGGATGGGTTGATTAGGAGGAAGGTGGGGTCTTGTGGATTGGGGGCATAGTGGGGGCAGATTGGGTCCACAGGGGGATTGGGGGAGCAGATGGCTTCTGTGGCAAGGATTGGGAGAGATGGGTGGTGTCTGCAGGGTCATGGGGGGACCAAGTGGGATCCACGAGGAGATTGGGGGATTAGTGGGGCAGATAGTGTCCTCAAGGGGATTTCAGGGGTCTGGGAGGGTTTGACAAGATCGGAGGGGAGGGCATGTGGGTCTGCAGGGGCAGGTTTGAGGGAGTTCAGAATCTATCTTTCCCATTCTTTAGATCCCGGGGCTATTTTTAGCCCCCTGAGTCCAGTTCCACTCCTCCTCCCCCCCCCCCCCCCCCCGCAACCTCCAGTGAACCTACCCCCATCCTTCCTGCCCCTCTCAATGTCAGGAATTAATTCCTCAGCTCCCAGAATTGGCAAACTCTGATAAAACTGGCACAAGGGGGGAAGCATCTTGCAGGCTGGGAGTTTTGGTGGGCTGGAGTAGGGAGGGGGGGCTGGCTGGCTGGTCCATTGGGGTGTTCCATCTGGAGGTGGGGTGAGGGGCTGGGAGGGCCAAAAAATAGCCTGATGCTATAGGGGTGGATAGGAATAGCACAACTCAAGGGCTGAGGCCAGCAGCTGGGCTTTCCCAGCCCTGGGGCTGCGCTGGGAATTGTACAAAAGTTTGTGACAGTTAGAATAGTTTTAAAATGGCCAATCTGATCTAAGTTAGACTACCTCAGAGGTAGGGGTAATTTAGATCGAGTCAGTCATTTTTAGACCTATCTAGCATTCCTGGAACTTCTATACAGTTTGCACTTAGATTGACTTAACTAGGGATCTAAATGTAAGGTCTGCACCTGGGTGAACCAAGTTAAATTGGGTGGCCAGTTTTAACATGTTATAACCTCCCTCTCCTGCCCCGCCAATGTATGCATCCTTTATGGATATATGAAAAGATGCAGGTTAGTCTACCCACAACTCCCACTGAATTCTAAGGGAGTTACACAAGTGTGTCTTAGAGTAGACCTGGACATCATTCCTAATTAGTACATATGTTAGAGTCTACTGGGGTATGTATACATTATAGAAAGGCAGATTTAAACATCTGACTAAAACTCATATTAGAGAGAGAAAAAGGCAGGATTTACATGCTGTGCACAAATTTCCAGGTTTCATCTTTTCCTTAGTCCCTTCTCCAGAAACTGCATTCAGATTGGCAGTATTGAGTAATGAGGCCTTATTTCAAGTTTTCTTGCACTAATTCAGGCATAAAAACAGACTCAAATAAACACAGGACATTAAGGTCTGATTTTTGGGCAGTGCTATGCACCTGTAATACACTTTGAAGTCCATGTAGATTGTGTGAGCTCAGCCCCTCAGGATTAGTCAGTCCTCTACAGAGCAGGTGGTATTCAAAGTAGGGGAACCACTTCTGCAGCATTCGTTATTTCTTAAGATAAGGCTCCTTATCTCTCTTTGTGTACCTGTTTCATTTTCTCTTTTTACTTGTTTTGCCATTATTTTAACTGGCTAGTTATTGGGGGAAGTGAAAAAATGACATCATGTAATAAGAATGAAAAATTTTGATTGGTTTTCTTGCAAAATGGCTTTGATGGAAAATGCATGCCACAACATATGCAGAAATGAAATGTAGCAGCTTGTTGAAATTTACAAGTGATAATGCTGTGCGATTATCTCTCTACATTTTCTTTCTGTTCACTGAATTAAGACAGATGTTGGGTCTGAGGTTTTGTTAAATATGCTAGATTTTAAAGTATGTTGATTTGCTTAAAATATTCTTTTCTAGGTTTTGGACATAGTCAGGACAAGCGTTCGCACTGTTCTACAACGTGTCTGGAGGGTTTCGGACATTGAAAGTTTACAGTTATACCGTATTTTTAACCGTGTGTTCAGTCGCTTGCTCTGGAGCCATGGCCAAGGCCTATGGAACTGTTTCTGTAATTCAGGGTAGGCCTAAATATATTTATTGTTCTAATTTTTTTTATAACTTTATCAGTACACATAGGGTTGGTAAAAATGTAATGTTTACTTTCATTCAAGAAATTATGATGTTATTTAGAACTGGTTTTAAAACAATCTAAGGTACATGCAATTTGAAACCTAATAACATAGGTTAAGCATTTCAGTAATGGGTACAAACAGTTTGGATCCTATAATCATATGCAGGCAGCTAAGCAAGCAATCTGATTTTCAGAAGTGCTGAACTGCAGTGGTTAAGTGAGAGCTTCTCAATACTCGGCACTTTTGAAATCAAACCACTCCGTTGGGTGCCCAGATTATGGCCTTCACATTAGGTGCCTACTGAAAAAAATATGATTTGATCTATCTAGGTTTGGCCTCATCTACTTGATCTCTAGCGTAAAAGAGGGATAATTCAGTCACAGGCTCGGCTGACATGTTACACTGCAAATGCACAGAAGTATGAGTTACAACCAATAAAGCAGAATTTCTGAATGGCATTTTGTTTGCTCCTCACGCATACTTGAAATAATGGTGAAAATGTAAGTGAAAAGTAAAAAGTTGTCATACAGACATGTAATGAAATATTTATTTTGGTTGGAAAGAAAGTCTGCTTATTGGAAAATACTGTGCCATTTAAAAAAAAAAATTAATTACTCTGTTCTGAAACCTTACCTTGTTGTAGGAGGAGCTTTTGTGTATATATCAAAAAATAAAATGCCAAAGACCTTTTTTTCTTTCATAAAATAAAAGCATAAATGTATGAATATATATCATATATAGAGTGCATTTAAGTTTCTCTATAATTGTATGCAGTGAATGATTAATAGGAAGTTTTTTTTGATTAACTTGCATAAGAGGATTCAGAAGAGATTTATTAAAAATGAACTTCAACAAATATACACAGTATGATGGATTTCATATGTACAAAAGGAATTAATATGTACTTTACATACAGTAATTTGTAGAGAATTCATGTAGTGCACTTATTTATGTAAGAAGGTTAGGAACAGATGTTGCATTTGTCCTGGGACATATTGTGCTTGTGTTTTTGTGCTGGAATGGAAAAGTTCCATGATTGGTGTGTATATGCATCACCCTTCCAACTGGCTGAAGGTGCTACCACTTTTCTGCTATTAATTTGGTGATGCAATCCCAAGGCAACCATTCAGATGCACTTTGTGATGTCCTAGGTCCAACTGTTAGCACATCTTAGCCTATGACGCTTTTTAGGGGTTGTCCTAGGACAATAAAACAATGGGCATGGACATCTGAGTGATTTCACTTTGTCCCAGAATACAATGGCTTCTTCCAGACCAAATACAATGTCTGTAGCCTAAGAAACCTTGTCTATATGTCCAGCGCAGTGCAGAAAAAGAAAGAAGAAAAAAGTATACTAAAACCAACAAACTCAGCATATTGAGAATCTGTCCCAAAATATGGTCTGTTTATTTTATTTTAGGATTATTTCTCTAATTGCCTAAAGTTTGGGGTTTTTTCCCCTATCATATAAATGATATGAAGCTACTGGAAATATCCAGAGATTGATTTCTTTGTTACACCAAAATCACCTCCAAAGGGATGCTTCTCAGTGTCAGTCATGTCTGGAAAACAACACCCATTAGGATTATATTAGCATTCTCCCACACCAATGAATGTTTCAGAGTATGGTTAGCAAATGGCTGTATGTCACCAGCCTTAATTATGTCCTCTTTTTAGCTCCCTATGGAAGTATGGACTCTCTTCATCCCCCAATACATTTCTGGAGTTGTGATTTTAGGTTCACTTAATTTCTTGTGTTGTGTAATATTAATTTTAGTTAAATTGCTTTAAACAAGATGGTAGGTTTGGATCTCTTGCTTTTAATGTTGTAATTTTTGTGGAAATCTTTCATTTCAGATTTTTTCTTTTCACCAAAAAAAGTTTCTTGTTTAAAAAAAATTGATCATCTCTACTTTTGAATGGGTTCAGGATCACAGTTCTTAAGCTAGCTGAATATTTCAGTGAAGAGCTAGATTTTTAATATAGGAATAGATTCTTTCATCTAGAACAAGATCTTCATCTGTAAAATTCAGCTGCCTCAGGAGCTGAACTAAATTTCAGATTCTGTTCCTTCTAAAATAAGTTGTTTTGTGACATCCTGTCTAAAAAGATGTATAAAACCTCTATGCTGTATGGCTGTTAAAATTGCCCTACATGTAATGTACATACTTAAGGCTATCATTAGTACTTATCTTCTCACCAGACAAACTGTTGCAGGGGTGGACATTTATTTGGGCTGGAGGGCCACTTAAGGAGTTTTGGTGAGCTGTTGTGGGCCATGGGAGGGGTGCAGTGGTGGTCACCCAGCATGGCGAAGGGTGGGAGCAATTGATTCTATCCGGCCTAGGTGAATGGCCCCGTGCTGCAGTCCTGCCCCTGCCTGTCTGTCTTGTTCCTGGATGCTTCTGCTCTTGGTATATTCATGAATAAAATCTCTGTGTTATAATCCTGACATAGCTTTAATAAAATTCAGCCTAGGTCGGTAGGTGTCTGTCTGTCTGTCTACTTAGGCTGAATTTTATTTAGGGTGGTATGTATGTGTGTAAATCTCCTTCCCTTGCTGTGTAGATCCAATTCACACACACATTACATTCAAGCAGGAACGGGGGGCTCTTTTCTTAGGAAATGTAGTATTTTCATTTTTCCTGAACATCCTGATACTTTTATTCCCTTGTGTGAAAGAGAAATCAATAGCCACTTTGTTATCACTTCAGAAGTTCCATCTCTCTCTCTCTCTCTCTCTCTCTCTCTACAACATTTTGCACTTACAACATGTATAAATTGAAACCCTGTTTCAACTTTATAACATCAGTTTTGACTTTACAATGCTTGATTCAACGCCATGTTATGCCATGCCACACCATGCCAGTGAACAGGTTGGCTGCATCGCCCATCTCCCTGGAGAACATCTGTCCAAATTTCCTTGGACACTTTCTTTAAGAAAACGGACAAGACAAGACTCCAGAAAACCTTGCAGCCAAGACTCCTGAGAAGACTCCAACCAAGAGCCCTTCAAAAAGTCCAGCAAAGTCGCCTCAAATAAGTCATTCCAAATCAATATGATTGCTATTTACAATATAAATACATTAATGTAGCTATATTACTTATCTATAATTGATTGAGTACAACATTCTGGGTTATTTTTCTGTAAAAAATAAAGTATTGGGCCTTGGTTCAGGAACCAATCCCCCATTTATAATATTGTTTCCTATGGGAAAATCGGTTGTGAGTTACAGCGTTTTGACTTAAGACGCGGTTTCCAGGAGCCAAGTGTGTCGTAAATCCGAGGACTGCCTGTATGTATGTGTGTACACCCATACGTATAATCTCTTAGATTTCTTGTTAATGTTGAGAATCTTATTATGTTACATTGAGGCTAATAAGATATCACTGTGGCCACAAATCATATATAAACTGGGTCCACATATTCCACTCTGTTGAAAAAATCCCTTGCAAGTGGGGGAAATGGTCAAAAAACTCAACACATGAAATCAGGCATTTCTCAAGGGATTTTGAAGCCTTATTTATGTAACCTAAGGAGTAATCTCCATATCTCGTGGATCTGCAAGTAATGGGGTACCCAGAACCCACCCTTGCAGATCCTTTAAATCTTCTTGTCTAGGGTAATGTTTTATGAATCCTATTTTATGCTCTTTCTTGTGCTGCTAGAGAAGAGAACATTTTCCATTAGAACATATGCTCCATGCTGGTGAATGTGCTGTACCTTAAAATCAGTTAGATATACACAGACATATCTTAGATTCTACTTGTCTGATTTCCAGTTCGTGCACCGATGTCACAGTTCTCAAATCTTCTATTTTGGGGATAGTCTTGACCATACTAATGTCCAAGTAGAGCTATGTGTCTTGGCTGGGCTGAGAACCTGCCTTCTCAGTATTGTTTGAAAACTGAGGTGGAAAAATTAAAAGTGAAAATCTTTCGTTTAACCTTCCTATTGAAAATCAGAAACCAAGCGTAGCATTTTGAAAATTTATATTCACTTGCTATATGTAGCTTTTGCTATTTTCTTCATACTTAATATCATGGTCTTCTGAAATGAATATATAGCACCATAATACTTTCATTTATTAATTTCTTTGACATCACATTAGCGAGTATTCTCCTAGTAGCTTGTTAAAAATAAATCAGTATTTTGTGTATTTTGTGTTGTAAAATACCATTTAAAATTATCTGGCAGTAAATCTTTATGTGCTGAACCTAAACAATGGCCCTATAAAAGCTTTAGGGGACATAATGAATGAAAAATGGCTTGTGCGCATTTTCAGATATGAAGATTAACTTCTTAATTTGTATTTTATATTCCCACCATCTGTCTGTATTTGGGTTAAATAACATATGCCTTTTCCTGTAAACAGGCAAGGTCATGCTTTTTTCTCTTGCTCCTCCATTACTAAATATGATGTATAGCAATAAAGCTCTTAGATTGCCATTTGTGACAGAAAACATGAAGTCATGTCTGTTTCCATGCCAACAGGAGCTCTTGGGAAACCATATTCAGTAGAAGCACAGAGGTGGTGACTCCTGAGCAACTCCAGTGTTGTCAACGAATAGTGCAGCTTTGTAAACACTGCCTGCTAGTGGTGTACAAGTATTCAACAGATTCAAGAGGATCTGTGACTGGATTTATCCCCAGTTGGGATGATACCAGGTATATACTTCTGTATTTATCTCTCTAACTTTCAGTTATGTGAAAAATAGCGGAACTTATGATCAGATTTTGCGATACACAGCAACACTTCCTTCTGTGCCTAGGGAACAGCAGCAGAACTCCTTCATGATTTGTGCAGCACAGAGGACAAGTGTATCATAGTTCCTATCGTTATAACCTTGGTAGTGTGTTTATGAAATCAAAGAATTCTTTTTCCTGATTAAAGGAGGGTCTTACTATACAGAATTATTTCAAACGATCTCAATAAAATCTTATCTGGTTAATGCCCCAAATAGCCAGGGTAAGAAGGGCACTCAGTCCTTAACTGAAACTTTCCTTTCTTTCCATTCTCAGATCTCTCAAAGTCACTGATTCCTGATTTGTGTTCTTAGAGGTCTCTAATATATATTATGCTTCTTGCTTCACAATCATTATGAGATCCCACAGGAGCCTAGCTCCAGCCTGTGGCCAGGTAAGTGCCATCTGATTTACTGTATTGCACAGTTTTGCAAAGTTGACTTCTAAAAACTGCCGATGTAAACGGTTATATTTATTATTATATCTCAAAGAGTATATAGTTTTTCAAACCTTGCAAAACAGCACCATATAGTAAAAAAACCAAAACTATTTTGGCACTTACCAATTCCCCATAGATTGGTTTTGTTCTTCAGCTGAGTAGCACCATGGTTATAATACCATCAGTACATGTCTTACTGAAATGTCCCTGTAGCAGGAGCCAGTGGTCTGTGACTTAATGGTCCTAAACTGGAGAATGAAAGGTAAGTTTCAAGTTAGCTGGGCACTGAAAGGTCCTTTTACCCTGGCAATTGGAAGGTTTGTTTTGTTTATGTAAGAAAAGGTTTAATGGGTCTTTGCGAAGACAGTGTTTGTTCCTTAAAGCATTAATGTATTAATAACCTGTAAAGATACACCCTTTATATTTCTTATTAGACCTAGTTTACCATGTAATCACTTGAGCAAGCTCTTAAAATAGTTCTTTGATATCTGCTGTTGTCACGTGAACATTCAGGGGCTTTGACATAATTTAATTCAAGCTTGAAACAAGTTGCTTAATCACACCAAAGGTAGAGGTAATTTAGCTACAAAACAAACTATATGCAATATTAACTTATACATGACCTCTGTCAGTAGAATGCTAAATTCATATGAATTGGGAAAGACAGAAAAGGTTGAGCTTGAAGGTATTCTCACTTCCATTGTCAATAGTAAAGAACTTTTTTTCCCCATCAAATTCAAACAAGCAGTCAAACAAATCAAGTCACTTGAAAATACTGAAGCAAACAGCCCAATCGTGGCAAAGAAATTGGAAACAATGATGTAGGGATAATTTTTCCAGCTCCAGTTTTTAGTGCGTCTGAAGTCCAAAGGCAGTTTATTCCTCAAGTTTAAACATGAGCAAATTTTGAGTCCTCAATTCTAGGTAACTTTATATCAGCCACAACAAAGACACTGATTTAGGTCTTTATGAGTGTAGTTGTCACGAAAACTGTGATTGATTAAAAACCACAACAATCTGCATTTATCTTCACAAATGTTACATTTATAGTACAACTAGTTTAATTCTTTAGCTACCCCTTTTATTCTGGTTTTATAGAAAGGGCTTCTTATTTTCTGTATGAGAGAAACTCGCATTTAAGGTGGGTTTGCCTGTAGTGGTCCAGCCTATCCTAAAATAGACAAGTTAACTGAGAAATTATTTTCCTTAAAATGGTATAATTGCGGTGTAATTTCACCTTGTGCCTGGATCCATATTTTTAAGATATCCAGAAAACTGTATAAAAGCATTTCCCTTTATTTTTTTGATTACTATGATGATAGAGCACAATCCTGTAAAGTACAGCATCTGGTCAGGGCATAGTTTAAAGCTGTCTTTGGCATACAGCATGCACATACTTTCATAATTTTGTAAAGTTTCATTTGTATAGCTCTGGTGAGCTTTCTGGAGCAGAAAACTATTTTTAGTTTACCGTTTGATATAATTCTGGCACATTTGTCAAATAGCTGCATCTCTATTTAAAATTAATTATTTGTACAGGGATTGAGAGAAGTTTGATTAAAGTAGTGCCATGATCTCTCATTTTTTGCAGTTCACACAAAAGTGCAAGTCCAAGAACTATTTTTACTTTTCTTGGTGGGGAAAAGACAATAATTCATTTACATTTGTTGCATAAAAAAGCTCAGGCACTTTAAGCATTATTGTAAAAGTAATTTTCAATTAAATTAAATATATATTTTAGTTCAGTAATCTCAGAACCCACTTATCAGATACTCATGGGAATACCAAGGTAAATAGTCAGTTATACTTTCTTCACAAAAATTAAAAATGAAATTAGAAATGTTGTAGGAAGGAAAAAAAATAATCATGTTTTATTTCCTCCTAATCGGGAGACCTAACTCTCTCTTAAAACAACCTTAAAAAGGACAAAAGCCGCTCATCTTTGAATCATTACATATTCACCTCTCCCACAAATGAAGAAACATGGCAAGGGCTGCCAAATAATCAGGGATCAGTTGCACTGAATACCTCATCAGAATTTATCCAGCTTTTTGCTCCTTGTCAAGAATCACTGAGCCTAATTCTGAGAGAGAGTATCTTCAGGTCAACAACTATTAAGATGTGCTCATCATTGCACAATATCAGGCTTTTCAAATGCTGCAGAATGAGGGTTACCCTTGAAATAATAGCTTTGCTCAGGGCCTAAACTAAACAAACATTTACAGTTATCATATATCTCATGTTTCCCATTTAAGAATCCTGATCTGCTCCTATCCACATGATTTAGTAGGATCAATCTTTGTTTTTTCAGTGTCTTCATTTGTCATTAATCAATAATTCTCTCGAAAAATGAAACACTTTTTAAGCACTAAACTACATAATGTGTGGTATGTGTAATCTATTATAGCACTGCATGTTGCTCATTATGGATTTTGATTTAATCTGAATGTTGTTTTGCACACTTTTATTGTGGTCATCTAATGACTCCTGCAACTAATTTTGGGAACCGTTAATAGGAAACAAGCTTAAGAATGAATATTGGACAATTTGTGATTAATTTATTTGTAGTATTTTATGAAATACAGGTTAGAAATTATTATAGGCCACATTTTTTTTTTATAGTTTCATAGTTGGTAGGGTTGGAAGGGACCCGAGCAGATCATCAAGTCCGACCCCCTGCCATGGCAGGAAAAAGTGCTGGGGTCAAATGACCCCAGCAAGGTGTTCATCTAATCTCTTCTTAAAGACCCCTGGGGTAGGAGCCAGAACCACTTTGCTTGGAAGTTGGTTCCAGGTCCTAGCCACCCTGACAGTGAAGTAGCGCCTCCTGATGTCTAGTCTGAATCTCCCCTCTGCCAGCTTGTGGCCGTTATTTCTAGCCACTCCTGGTAGTGCTCGGGGGAGCAGGGACTCCCCCAATGCCTGCTGGTCCCCTCTGACTAGTTTGTAACAGGCCACTAGATTCCCCCTCAGCCTTCTCTTGTGGAGGCTGAACAGGTTCAGGTCCCTTAGCTTTTCCTCATAGGGCCTGCCCTGCTGCCGCCTGATCATGCGGGTGGCCTCTGGACCCTCTCAATGCTGTCCACATCCCTCCTGAAGTGCGGCGCCCAGAACTGGACGCAGTACTCCAACTGTGGCCTGACCAATGCCCCATAGAGGGGGAGGATCACCTCCTTGGACCTGCTCAAGCTGCATCTATGGATGCATGACAAGGTGCGGTTGGCCTTCCTGACCGCGTCCCCACACTGTCGGCCCAAGTTCGTTTTGGCATCAGTAATGACTCCAAGATCCTTTTCTGCCTCTGCACTGACAAGAAGGGAGTTCCCCAGCCTGTAGGTATGCTGCTGGTTCTTCCTCCCCAGGTGCAGCACCTTGCACTTGTCAGTGTTGAAACCCATTCTGTTCTCATCCGTCCACCCCTACAACCTGTCTAGGTCCAATTGCAGCCTATTCCTCCCTTCTAGCATGCCCACATCCTCCCACATCTTAGCATCATCAGCAAATTTGAATAGGGTGCTTTTTACCCCCTCATCCAAGTCACTAATGAAGATGTTGAACAGCGTGGGTCTGAGGACCGAGCCCTGGGGGACCCCACTGCCCACATCTCTCCAGTAGGGATTAAAGTAATTCATGACTTTAATGGAATCATGAATTACTGGTGAAGCAGTAGGTTGCAGAAGTCCTAGGTGTCTGCATTACATGGATTACATGACCACTTTTAAAATGGTTGGAAAACAGTCCAGTGATTAGAAGAAGAAACTAAGGACCTGTTTACATGCCTCCAACACTGCTAGGGACTACGACTATGAAAACATGTCCTGCTGACTTGCTCCCACTCCTCATGTTCAAAATGATGAAAAAATGCAATGTGACTGCTGTTAAAGTAGTTTTGGGCATGTGCCTTAAATAATTTTAGGACTGAAAGCCTGACAGTGGTTGTGTGTGCATATCAGCCAGTGATCACATTCCATTTTTTCAGGCTATAGTACGTGCAGATTGGGCATGCTACATGTCCCTGCGATGCTCCCTAGTATGCTTAGAGGCAGTGCAAATGTGTCCTGGGGCTAAAGATTCCTCTGTTTTTACCTTGGCCCTGCTATTGACATCCTCTATGAGTTTTTACAGGTCAGTTAAACACTTTCTACTTCATTTTATATATATATTTAAACTGGGTAAAGAAATACTATTATAAGTGAGATCTTTGGGTGAAAGGTTAATAATAACTTTTGATAATAGTTCGCTTGTGAGGTGTGCTTTGTATATGAGATCTGTCGATTGCCAGAATGTTACCATATTTAGTATTATGAGAAATCAATGGCAAGATATTTGATTGACTCATAGTATGCTCTAGTTTTGCCTAGGTTGTGTATTGATCTTAAAATCATTTCCTTTATCATCTGAGGTAAAGGCCTGCTGCACAGTACTCTGTTTAAGCAGTACATAAAGTCTCAAATACCAAGGTTATTATGCATGGCATATGAATAACTAACTCCTTTGCCCTTGAGTGTTACATTGCCAGTTAAATTCTTCTATTATTTTTTGTAATCATTCTAGGTATTTACTGCCAGGACCTTCACAGTTCATCATGAAAGCGCCATCCTCCAACTTTAGCTGCAGTTCATCTGGAATGTCTCGCTCTAACGTTCTGTTTACACCCAGATATAACCACTTGTGAAATGAAGAGAAAGTTGCCATGCTTTTACTGGCATTCCATTTTTTTGCCAATATAAATTTGTGATGGTGCTAAACATAAGCACTCATATATTTACTATAGTATATAAGACAACAGTTAGCTGAAAACCTACTGTTAAAGCTTAACCTTTCTGGAAATGTAATAAACCTTATTAAGTTGTTTACACAAATATGTGAATGTCTAGATCTTGCTAGGTTTATAAGTAACTCCTTCCTACTAGAAATGTTATTTTTGCTGCAGAATATATAAAATGAAATTGATCTTGGAGATCCTATTACAGTGTTAGATTATTTTATAGGTATAGTATCTTTGGACTTAAAATATTATTTATTGTAAAGACTACTGTTTATTCTCTCATTGACACATTAATCCTTCATCAAGATAGACTATAAAAAGCCTGCTGTAGAACAGTAAAACAGATGAAGCCAGTAAATATAAATAGTCTGATAATTTCTGTAGTACATTTAAAAAAAACTGTAAAAAATGGTTCAAGTATGCAAACATCTTTTTATTTCCCTATAAAATTCACAATTTCAGTAATGATGATGCTTTGCAGGAAGGACATGGTAAAGTATCTTTTAGCCTAAGTGAAGACAATCCAGCGTGCACACATTTAAAAATATCAACTGTGGCATATAGCATCTAGTTGGATCCTTGTAATAAATCAGAGAGCAATGGTGGTTATCAGATACTCCTTCATGCTATTTGTGTCTTGTGTCTTTCAGTTTCATTTGAGACCAAGCAATCATCTCCAACTCATAAAAGAGCTGTGCATATATCTGCTACGCAAGTGATAAAGCAGATATGTTTTCAGAAGCACTGCAGTGCCATCTAAACCTTCCAAGTATTTTGGTTTCCTTTTATTTTTTTTGAGAGTTCCACTATATATTGTAGAGCATGTCCTCTAACAGATAGTACTTTCTAGGCATATTGAAACCGTAAGAAAATAGCTGGAGATGTCATAAATTAGATTTCTGTTGTTCAGAGTCAGCATTCCAGGCCTAGCTGTATGAAACAATAAGAGCCTGATGTAGTTATAAGTGAGATCCTGAAAGTACAATTGATCAGAGTTTCTTGATATCCATGTTTGTCCCTTTTTGCAACACCTTATTTGGGCCCAATCTATAGATAGATATATTCAGGTAGCATATACCATATATGTGGTAGATAATGAATTAACCCAGTTTATATTCATTAACTACCAGATCAGTTCCTGTTACCAGCCAAATGTCTTTTCACTTGTTGATGAACATGACCATATATATTTTTCCCCCTAGTTCTCAATATTTTTATTTTTAATAAAAAGGTGGAGTCCATCCCTCAGATGTCAGAGGGTACAGGCCTTTCTCTGAGATAATTTTTTTAAACTTTGTGCATTGCCTACCAAATAGGGAATTTTGGTATCTTTGCTTTTGTCTGCCCAAGCTATATAGCTGCAAGATGACTATTCCCTAGATATGTTTGAAAAAAATGTACTGTGCTTTTAAAGTTTGACTGCAGTGTTGATCACATGTAGACAGTTTTGCTAGTCTGGCAGAATCCTTTCCCCTCCCATGTTAATACTGGTTTAGTCATACATGATCTCATCAGTTCACTTGATGTATCTCCTTGTACTATACAATGATGACTGCTGATAAGTCAATTACATATGATTACCTGTAAGACCTAATAAAATCCTTCCCTTCTGGAAGTGCAGTGGTCTCTGCAATATACTGCTTTTGGTCATGTGGGAAAGATAGCTTCTAACTTTGGACTGTTGCCACAGGTTGGAGCTGTTTTTGAATCAGTATGCTCAAGAGCCAAGGTGGAGACCATGGCAGTCTCTTTAGCTTACTCTGCCAGCAGTAGGGCATTAAGTATGGCTGTACAGTGTTGGATAGACACAAAATCTCCGTTATCTGGCATGAGTGCGGAATGCCAGGTGCCAGTAATGTAAAAATGCTGGTTATCTAAAAATACCAGAGCCAGAGGGGGGAGGCTTGCGTGCAGCGGTGGTGACGGCGCAGGGTGGTGGATGGTGGTAGCGCAGAGGGGTTGCACACAGCTTGCATGCAGCAGCAGCATGGGGCAGTGGAAGGTGGTGGCAGTGGTTGCACGTGGTGGCACGGAGTGGTGGGTGGGGGCGGCACAGTGCTGGTTAATAGAGTATGCCGGCTAGTAGAATGCCAGAAAACTGGAATTTTACTGTACATAAAAATATCCTGGATACATTGAAGATGTATCTACTGATTTGTTTAAAGTTTTCAAAATCTGGTTTAGTTTCTAGCTGATTGTGGTTTCATTTGTTCATGTTTCTGATGAGCTGTGTTGGCACACTTATAGGTATTTTAATAATTATTAAACTAGTGTGGCAGATAAATAATTCTAAATACCTTTCACCTCTTCAGAAGGTATAGATATGCCTACATGGCACTGTACCTAAAACGGTAATAGGCAACAGTTAAAAACCTGGCTCCATATGGTAGCATAACTAGGACCCATACACTCCTTAATGAAATGCTCCCCACCCTCTGACAGGACCTAACATGTATTTCCAAACTGTACTACAGTCTTGAACGTGAACTGAGGGGTGAAAGCCATTGTTGTATTGTAGATGGACCTCATATGTAGAACAATTGATTGAATTAAGGCTAGTTACTTATACGTTACAACATATACAACATTCCAAGTGATAAGTGAGATAGGAAAGCAAATTTCTCTAGTCGTAGTATACAACGTGTGTGTTTTTAGATTAACACAGTATTTCTAAGGCTGTGGGATGCCTCCCCCCACTGCCATCCCATCTCTGTGGAGGTTTGAGAACAAGGGCACTGAAGGCAGCTGTAACTGCATGAGCCTGGATCTATCCTGACCCCACAGGGCATCTCTGAGAGGATACTAACAGCTGCCCCAATACAGAGACTGCTCTATCTTCCTTCTTTTAAGGTAAAGCTATTAATTTGACTCAGTCCAATTGCATAAGGAGAAGAGGCAGTAATCATTATAAACTGTGAATCTTATTTTTGCAAAGTCCTGTTTGCAGCCACGTATCCTGAAAAGTGAGGGAGAGATTATTATCCTGCTTTTAAATCTTGAGTAAAAGCTAGTACCTAGATAAAATTTGACTTTTTACATGAAATTTGGGTTTAGCATTAAAGAATGATTTTATTGTTAGAGCATATTGGAAACTTGCCTCGGGTCCTTTAAGGTAGGGAGAAGCTGACGGTGACCAGTTCGGGGCTGACTGTGGAGGCCTCCCAGGCAAGTTTCCAGACTTCAGGATGGTGTTTCCACCACTTACATAGTTGGTGTTCTTCACAGATGTTTGCTTGTGCTTTTATACAGAGCTGCAGCTTACCTGGTAACAAAAGCTTTTTTTTTAACTATAGCTGCAGCAGCATTGTGCAGTACGTGGGTTAGGAGGTGGTGGGATTTCTGTCTCTTCTGGCATCACAAAAGATGCCTGTGTCAGGGCTGCAGTGATCTGCCCTCCCTTTGAAAATAAAAGTAATGGCCAGAAAACTGATAACAAATCAGCACACTGAATGGATTTTTAGTTTGGTAGGAGAGCAGATGTTTTAAAAGAGCCTGAAATAGTGTCGGTCTATTCACATTTAGGTGTATAGATGCGTGTATATGCTGCCTCCTTAACCGAAGGCACTCGCAGCTCTCAGGTGACTGGAGCTCAGGTGCTTGGGGGCAGACTCTCCACATGCAGTCCATTCTCACTGTGGTCAAACATAGTCACTTGTGCACCCTAGGCTTCGCTGAAGGACTTTTTCTGAAAAGATCTGTCAAATATTGGAACTAATCTGGAAACTGGGTTCCACTTTCTTCTACTGAGTTGTCATACTGCGCTAGTGTAAAAAATTATTTCACTCTAAGGCAAGACGGACACCTGTAGGGCTACAATTCAGAAAGACCAATTGCACAAACTTAAAAAGATTTCTCACTTTATTTGTGGTGAGAAGCAATTCTTACCCTGTGAACATTTAGCCTGATGGCACCTGCTCTTGCAGCCTTTACAGGGGAAAAATTTCCACTGAAGTCTGTGGGAGTTTTGTTTTGCTCAGATTGCAAAATTGGCTTCCTGACTGAAAAAGGGTGCTGTTTTCCTTCACAGAAAGCTGCTGGTACAGATCTGTTATTCATTTGAGTGTTCTAAATAACGCACTATGTGATGCATGCCCAGTAATATTTTTCCTCTTACAAGAAAGTACATACAAAACTGCTTCTATAATTCTTGGTAACAAGCTTAGGAGGCCAAATGCAAAGGCAGAAGATACTATTTTTAAATTACTACTTTGTCTAGGTAATGTTAAAAAAGAAACATCACTCACTGCACCTAATAATGATACCCACTTGGTGGACTTTGGCCTTAGGGATAATGTTCTGTCTGGAAAGGAATTTCTTGTCTTCATTATAGGAAAATTATAGTCTCTACTATGGCAGTTACTTTTCTGTCTAGGAAAATCTACTGCTGGAATCTGATGAATGAGTTTATCTGAATGATTTCTTAGTTGGGCTAGGACTGGGATAAGTTCCTTTTTAAACAGCAAGGTCTATATTGAATGTACATTTTATGTTTCTATCTTTTATATCTAAAGACTGAAATATTGGCACTTAGATACCATTTAATGTTGGTGTTAGCAAATATTCACCTTTGCTACTGCATTTTGCATGAAGTATTGAGAATTTATTCCCGTTTTCAGATAAAGTTCATTTCTGGATAAGAGCTGTATTCGTGGGAATATTTTTCACTTTCACATTTGCTAATATTTTTATTGTAGCTGTTCTATGAGAATATTTTCACGCCTGAATTGCTTTACACCAAAGTTCTTGTTTGTGAGCCAACCTTTTTGGCAGGAGTGCCATAAATTAGCCTTGTAGACTTTTTGAGTGCTATTTGAATCCCCTTCCCCTGCCCAATCTACTACACTTTCTGCTCCCTGCCCTGTGCTCCCTACATGCTCTGTTTCTCTGTTTTCTGCTCCCTGCCCTATCTGCTACCGTGCTGCCTATCCCATGACACTTGTGCCACTACTGCTGCAGGTTGGCCCTCCTGGTGTAGGAGTCACTCTGTATCTAGTCTTTCTACCATTTAACTCCACTGTAAGCTCCCAAAATAAGGCTTTTATTGAGACCTAACAGGAGCATATGCTGAACTTTGGCCTCAGCTCAGGGTTGAATTTCACTATAGTTAAATATAAGCAGGTGATTACAGGTGAATGTCCCTGAAACTTGAAGAGTTTGGCCAGATGCTGTAATTAAATACCTATCATGGTAAGTGATGCCATTGGGAGATGCAGGTATTCATCAACCCTAGGAAGGAGTGTATTGAAATCAGTATTGCTTTCACTGTTTCCTTCACCGAAGGGCAGGACCAGGCTCTACTTGTGAGGTGGTGTAACTGGTGCTTCTTCATGCACTGCTCTTACATGTAGAGCAAAAAGGCGATGTTCTCTGAAGATAATTTTTAAATCATTGCTAATGTTTGTATTAATTTTTAATGAAAGGGTTTGACAGAGTGGTATCAGGGCTTATCTAATACCTGCTCACATAGTTACAGTCCCTATAGAGCAGCCCGGGCTCGTATTCCTGGCTCACAAAGGGTACATTCCACTGAGCAAGAGAGCGCCACCCTTCAGACTCCAGGTTCTTTAGAGCAAGGACTGTCCTTTACTCTAATTTTATACAGCACCTGATACAAATAGTCCTCCATCCTTTTAAGGCCTGGACTTGTTATCATGGCATGTGCGATAAATAATAACAATCTAAACTAGTTTGTAAAGCGCTTTAGATATTCTTGATTATTTCTAACCTGCTTCCAGCTGTGTAGAGCAAAACACCATACGTTGTTGATGAAATAGACTCTGATAGATCCCAGAGTGATTAGTCTGTGTTCTACAGCAGCTTATGCCTGCACAATAGTCTGTTACCCCAAAATCTTAGCCCTGTTAAGAGTTAGACTAAGAGCTGCCATTGTGAAGAGGTGGAGACATGTAGGCAAGTGACACGCACCTGCTTTCTCCTCTGTTGTGCATTAGTCAAACAGCTGGGTACAAGAGAAGACATAGGCAGGAGAGGCACTTGTAGACCAGCCAGGCCCAATTTTAATAGGTGCTGAGCACCCTCAACTTTCATTCCCTATCAGAAACAGCATTGTGCTTGCAGTCAAAACCTGTTACATCTACATGTATACTATAACACAAAACTGAAAATGCAAGTGGCATTCATTTATGCTCAACATTAGACTCTCATATTCAACAGCCCCTACAATGTTTTTAAAACTAGCTTGGTATCTGTACTGCACTGAGCAGCACAGGTGAGCAGTGGGCACTTCTGGAAGGAAACCCCACAGGGGAATATAATTTTCCTCTGCCCCCAGCTGCTGTCCTCCCTATCAACCTTGTTTACTTCTGTTAGTCAGGCAGCAGCACAGTGGCATTCTGCAGTGCTGGATGATTTGAAGGCTCATTTTTGCTGCCTCCTCTGGGCTTTCTATTGTGCAGAGGAGTAAATTCTTGTCTGAAACAACTGCCTGGGATTAGAACCTTGCGCTCTCTTGCATTCTGATCCTGAGAACGACAGTGCCTGACGCAAAGGGTGCAGTTGCACGTTACACTTAGACCATACTAAGGGCATTTAAAATGAAACTATTTACATGTTAAAACCTGTTTAACTCTTGCGAAGTGCCCCAAATTGAATGAGGAGACCAATTAAAAGGTCTGAATCAACTCATAGCTGTCTGAATCAATTCGGAAAAGATTTGGAGAGCTTCAGCGATTTGGGCAGTCTTCGTTCGCTGCCACAGGGAGCTGGACCTGGACGCCATGCAGCTAAGTAGGGGGCGGGGGAGGGGAGGCTGGACGAGGGGGAGAGGACC